AGACTAATTTAATTCATCAAACTCATTTAACTAAAATAATGATCGTATTATTTTTTTTAAAAGAATATTAGTTTATTAAGAATAAATTTTCATACTTAAGAATCTTTTATCATAATTAAACTTTTTTATTTTTTTATGTTATGAAGAATAGGTTTTTACAACGTACTATAATGTCATCAATTTTGAATATTTATAAACACGTACATTAAAAAAAAATATTGATATACAAATCACTCATGAATGCTAACTTACATCAATTAATCATAAATTGTATAATGAATCAATAATATTAAAGGTCAATTAACGGTTACAATAATATTAATCGAGTACTTTGAAATTCATGTGTACCATTTATAATATTTTTTGAAAAAATAGAAAGTGAATAATATCATATTTTTTATCCAAAAACAAATACTAAATGCCTCAAAAGTCTTCTTCTATTCTAGTTGATATTTCATGTCATTAAATCATCATTTTTTTTAAAAATAATAGACCTATTTAATTCATCAAACTTATGTCTCTACAAAACAAATATATAAATTACATGAGAATTTATGAAGATTATTTTTTAAAAAAAAATCTAATTCCTTTATATATTTTTACCAAACAAAATTCAATGAAAAAACTTCTTTGTGCAATTATTACCTGGTAATTTTTAAAATTCCTAAGTAAATTATTCAAAAAATTTAAGCAATTTTTTTCATAAAAATATTCAAATAAATTTGTAAGGTTGACAAAAAAGTTGGCAAGAAAGAGAAAATTATTATTTAACTTTTTTTAATTTAAATTTTTATTCTTTTATTCTATATTATATTATATTATATTTTAACTTCTCATACAATTAAACACTAATATATATTCTTATATCATCCCAAATTCATGAAATACAAGTAATAATTAATTGAATTGCCTATTTTAATTCAATAATATACATATTATATGAGATTAATATATTGATAAATAAAGATCAAAATTTTATTTTCTAATATAAATATTATTCACTTTCTATTTTCTTTTCAAAGAAAGATATTGTAAGTATATATGGATTTCATATTATTGATCCATTATATAATATATGATTCATTGATGTAAGTTGACATTTATAAGTGATTTATATATCAATATTTTTTGAATATATTTTCTCATAATTATTCAAAATTGATGACATTATGGTAAGTTTTAAAAAACTATTCTTCACAGCATAAAAAAATAAAAAATTTAATTATGATAAAAGATTATTAAGTATGAAAATTTCTTCTTAATAAACTAATATATATATATATATATATATATATATATATATATATATATATATATATATATATATTAGAAAATAATAAGATCATTATTTTAGTTAAATGAGTTTGATAAATTATTAAGCCTATTATTAAAAAAATGACTTTAATGACATGTCATGCCAATAGGAGAGAGAAAGGCTTTTGAAGTGTCAAGTATATTTGGAGGAAAATAGTGATAGTTGAGTGATATTTTGGTCCTAAATGAAACATAAATGATATTTCAAGGCAATTTCCTAAACTTGGGTGACCATTTAGGGAATTGACTCCCACAAGAAACGGTAGCACTAGTCAAATATCTTCATGCATGTGACAATACATTCCATCAATAGGAAACAATTAAGGGCATATTCATATCGAAAATATTTTTGATGAAAAATATTTTTGAAAAAAAATTAAAAAAGAATAAGTGAGTATATTATGTAAACAAAAAAAATAGAGAAAAGGACCAAAATTGTCCCTTATCTTTTCTTTAAGACTCAAAATGATCCTCATCCTTTTGTAGGAAGTACTAATAGTCCTCCTCCTTATTAAAATGGTGCAGTTTTAATCTCCCAAAACATTTTCCGTCAAGTTACACGTTTAGCTCCATTTGTCCATTCATTAAGATGGTAAATATTAATCATTGAGGTCACCAAATGAATAAATTTTAAGTAGTAGGAATCCTACCGTAGGATTCATGGTATTCACAACTAATATTCATCTCATATATTAGTTCGATTTATTAATTAATAAAAATACTAAATCATTATAGAAAAAAATAAGATATGGGTTATTCATGTATTAATTGTTAATTAACTGTTATTTTTTTATTATTATTAAAATAAACATCGAAACATAATCAAGTTAAGTGACAATTCAACAGTATGCAACATCCAAAATATTATATATTATAAAGTTAAATATATCATCAATATCCAAATTAAATATGCATATCGAGAAGTACAAATGAAAAGATTACAAAAGACCTAATAATATATAATATATATATTATTAATATGTAACTATTGATCTAATCAAGCAAAACATGTACTAAGTTATTCAGAATTTCAGAAAAAATACGTCTAAAATAAAAGCTTTTTATTACCGATTAGGCATAAAATTGTAATTTAATAATTATTATCAAATTATCCGTTACTCGTCAAGAAAAATCATAAATCATTATAAAATTAACAATTCACAAAAATAATTATAATCTAAACCATTATCGAATTGTAAATTCTTTTGAGCAGTGGATCTTTCGAAAAAATATTTTTATCTGAAAAGATAGAGGTACGATAAGAAAATGATCTTTCGAAAATAATATTTTTATGTGAGAAGGTAGAGGTAAGATGTGTGCACACTCTACCCTTTCATTATTCATTTTGAAAGCTATTATTTTTACAGAATCATAAATTTAATAAACTATTATCAATAAGTCAATAAGATTTGTCAATTTGAGTTATTACTTTTGATTGAGCTTAATTTTAAATAACACTACCAAAAGATTGGAGACAACACCAATATAATTACTATATAAATAAATCTGCTCACCATAATAATATAGAGATTATGAATAATGAATAAATCTGCTCACAATCTAATCACTTCTTCCTCTAGAAATGAGAAATTTGGTCATATCAATTTAATGCAGTCACGCATATGAGCGACTTCCGTTAGTGATAGACGGAAAATATTTGACATATTAAAACTGCACCATTTTTACAAAGAAGAAGGATCATTAGTGCTCCATATGAAAAGATAAGGATCATTTTAAGTCTTAAGACAAAGATAAGGGATAATTTTGATCCTTTTCTCAAAAAAATATATTTATGTTTAATCAATATTCCAAACTTTTGTTGATACTAACATTTTATTGAATGAGATAGTAGAGAGAGAAACGGAAAAGAAAAAGAAATAGTTTCCAAAGGAAATTTTATTCCTCACCTCGATGCGATACTTCGATAGTTATGAATTATATTATCTTAAGGAGTCGATTAATAAGGTGTATATAAGAATATCATTTATCATAGGGTGTATTAGTAATATATATTGTGATTAGTAATATTAAATTATTTCTTATCGACTATTTAGTTTATTATATTAAATGAATAGGAAATACCCGAATAGGAATAATACCCTATATTGCTAATATTATGATTCAAATATATATATAAAAGTAGTATATATATATATATATATATATATATATATATATTATTTTCTCATGAGTTGTCAAAATTTCATAATTCTATGGTACATCAAGAAAAAAAGGTCACGTGAAACCAATAAAAGAATAGTGATTATATGGTATCTATCTATCTGGAATATTAGTGAATGACCACTAAGGAAAGGATTAACGAATCTTTATGATGGCCAAAATATTAAAGAGGAAAAATAAAAGTAGTGCACATTGAGTGAGATGGATTCATAATTTAATTATATTATTAGATTATTATTGAAAATGCTGATTTTCAATAGTCTAATTCGTCGATAAATGGCATAAAGGAAAATTTTCATATTTATAATGGCGCATCAAAAATTTGCATTTTTTGAGATGTTCATCCATGAATTTTCATGTATTAATAACTTTTGTATTGCTAATACTATGAGTTGGTATTATTAGTTATACACAAAATTGTCTTTAAATACATCGAAACATTAAATTAAATGGTGAATAAATAACAATCTGAGCATTATAAGTATTATATTTTATTCAATACTATTCTTATGCACCTTATTCAACTATCCCTAAAAATATAGTAAATTAACTCAGCAATCTCTAGGCATTTTTTAATGCAACTCTTAATACTTATTCTGTCAAGAAGATAACATAATACAACTATCTATAACGGGTTAATTTAAAGTATGATAATATTGATTAATAGATCATTAAATGGGGGAGGGGGGGGGGGGGGGTCATATGGGATCACATTTAATGTAAGTAATATCATACTCTTGAGGATATATTTATTTATTTTAGAAAGCAAAACTAGTAAGTAAAAGTATTAATATTATCCTTTTCGATCCCAATAAGAAAAAGGTACATAGTAGTAATAATGATTTTGGAACTCACAAGTTGATGTGTTAAAAGAGTAAATGAATCCTTATTGGTTGACTTATATTCCTTCCGATTTCAAATCGTTTCAAGAATTTAAGAAACATTTGGTACCTCTTTTTTCCTTGAATTCACATTTATTGCTTCAATTAGTAGCTAGATAGGAATAGGGGTTCAATTGTTTGAATGTAGTCCCATAATATAAGAAATATTGTAGTGTGTAGAGGCAAAGGGGATTCAAAAATCACACATTCAAAGTCTTAGTATTAATTTAGTGAGACGTTTAGAAGAAAGATAAGGGTCCATGAATATTTTTTACATTTTTCTAGAGTTAGAATTCAAGAAATCATGTTTGGGGTGCATACTATTCAAAGTAATGTAAGTTTTCACAATGTGAAAAATCACAGGTGTCATATAGTGTTTGCTCAAATACAACAGTTACAGACAAAAGGCATGAAGGGGTGAAATAAAAGTTTCATCTACACTAGGCAAATGTGATCCAGGGCTCAGCCTGAATTGGATGTTGGGGAAGAGATGATTTTACACAACATTGAAAATCAACTTCTTCAAGAAAAGCAGCAAGATGCTGCAATGTGAATAATTATTTTTGTACATTTTACTAATCTAAATATACTTAACTTGAGTTAAGCCATTATACAGACCTTAGCCAACAGACAGATTAGCGCTTCTTCTTCTTTGAAGTAGAGGTCCCTTTTTTGGACTTCCTTTTGGTACTTGTATTACTTATGTTCTTGCTACACTCTGGGCAAAACCAGTCTTCCTCGGGTACACATTCAAGGGGAGGATCACAGCAATCTACATGCATGCCAATGCCACATCCAAGAGAGCCACTTTCGTCACCACAGATCAGCATTACTTCCCCCCTGTCAGGCGACCCACACACCTGGCATGCTATATCATTACTACTGTCATCTGATGGCTCCATCTCTTCAACAATCTCTTCCAAACGATTGACATGTTTTTTCAGTGATCTTTCTGCCCAGGAATGAGTGTTGTATTGCACATAATTGTTGAGGGTATAACCAGGTTTGCACACATAAGTCACCAAGTAATCAGGCAACACACAAGGTATCTCATACCTTAAGAATTCTTGAACCCACTTGTCACAGCGTGGCATGACCTCACTAGCAATGGCAAAGTCAACACCTGACTCAAGGAATCGACTATAAGGAGGAGAAGTTGCTAATATAATGCCATCCCCTGCCTTGACTGCACGCTTCAATGTATCCTGATTCAACAAAAGAGAGCATATTAAAACCTGTTAGAGATACGGACAAAAAGCAATCTGGATAAATTTATCAGTCTACAAATTGCTTGCATGTGGTGTGGAAAATATAACTTCCCACAGAAAATATTTCCACCGGAAATGTTTCATCTTAGGAAATCACTTTCTAGATCATTTTCCAATGGTGGTTGGGAATAAAAGTACATGACATATGATGATCACACAAGATGTTGGATTTAATATTAAAATAGTGTTCTAGTGATAATTTTTCAGTACTAAAGAAAGACAATCTACATGCTAAGTAATAAAGAGTAAGAGTTATGCTTTGTAAGAATAATGAAGAAACTACGTTTTGTAAAGAAAATTTACTTGCATCCAAAAGTAAGTCATTTTCCCCTTTGGTGGAATATGCTATGTTAGGAGAAATTATTTTTCCATAATACAAGGAAACCAACAACTAGAAAATGATTTCATCGAAGAAGTTCCAGAAAATAATTCTTCGTCATACAAAACACACCATAAAAAGAGTTAATGGAAGAGAGAAATTCTTGCAAATAAGCAGCATAGGAACTCAATCTTCAAGAAACATATACAGCAAACAACAAATTACCATACCAATGGTGGTACAATGCAGTCTCCATAAATGATTATCCTCATTCCATATAATGCGCCATGTCCTGTCCTCTCCCTCAGAAGTCGCCACTTTCTTGGGGCCTCTAAGTTGATTGCTAAGTCTTCAGTCAATCCCTTTTTGTGCCATTCATACGGCTCCTCATCCAACAATTTTCCAGCCTCAACACAAGCAGTTAAATAATCTGTCTTCAAGATCCACCTGTAAAAATCAATAGACGATATGTTTACTTGTGAGAATGAACATAACTTTAGGACTGTAATTTTTTTTTAAAAAAATGATAACTTCTTTAGGGATGTGTAATTAGCCAAACCTTCCAGAGGATGCAGCAGCAAAAAACTTCTCTGTTCGTCGTACTGGAGCAGGAACAATGAAATGGGTTGCCTGATATGACCACTGGTGAGAATCTCGGCACACTTTTCCTTTCAATCGCTTGATAACCTGCTGAAACTCCTTCCTTTGTAGCCGATGTCCACTAACTATAAACCACCTAGGCTCACTTTGTACTTTTGTAACCTGCAACGAGCGAGACTTTTTATCATAAGGAGAACTTCTGTCAGCTTCACGTTCATTATGACTTGCATTCTGGAGTCCAATAACAGGCACATTTTCCTTCTCCACATCCATGGAGTTCTTCAATTGATTCTCAGTCGAAATTACTGTGGCTTTTCCAGTTTCAGATGGAGACCCTTTTCCTTTCTTTGCTTCTACCTTGTTTCTATCAGTTCTGCACTTCTTCCTTTCTGCGCCTTCTACAGAAGCAGCAGCTCTTTTAGTAGCTAGATTAGTTTTCTTGCTGTTCTTCTTCAGACATTTTGGACCTTCAGGTACTTTCTCCTCTGAAGCTTTCCCCACAGAAGTTGACTTACTTAACTTGGTCTCCTTGCCAGAAGAAGTCCTTTGAGTTTCAAATTCATTGCTTTCAGTACTAAGACTCTTTGCAATATCCTTCCTGTCATTCTTATTTACCACCTTGTTTGCATTAATTTTCTTCTCCGCTGATTGAAGCCCTGAATGTTGTGCTTCAGTATCAGTAGACTTCTCTCTTAGAACATTTAATTCTTCATCTTCTTGGTCCTCTGGAGCCTCAGTATCATCATTTAGGGATTCATTTGTTTTGGCTGATTCTTTTTCAGAATTCAAAAAATTATTTCTCTCGATCTCCTTGCTCAAGTCAGCATTATCTGCAGGCAGAACCTCACCCTTTGTAGAGCTTACGATATTTTGGTGCTCTGTCTCCTCTCTCCCTCCGCTACTGGAAGCAGCTGAATCATTCGTCAGAACAGTCTTGTTAATGAGTAAAGAACCTTTCTGATTTCTGCCATCCCCTTTACCGAGACTTTGTCTAGATCCGAGTGTCTTCTTGGAAAGTGATCTTTTCTTCAATGTCTTAGACTCTAACATGGAATCATCTCCAGCTTTATTGAACTCAGCCAGCACATTAGACTTCAGGGTATCTCTTCTTTCATTAACTGGAGATGGGACATCATGCCGTTCATCCAGTGGCCCACTAACATCAACAGTAGCATGACTAGTCCCTTTCGACCCCATGATCATACAAGTGCTGCTTTGAGGTGCATCCTCATCATGCCCTTGCCCAGTGCTTAGTGTCGCAGGATTGGAAATGGTTGAATCATGATGCTGCATGGTTTCCAAAGTTACACCCTTGTCCAAGTGAGGGGCAGGGTTCCCAGACAATAGATGACTGCCTCCATGGCTTAGACTATTTAACTTTGACGAGTTTATTAACTCTTCAGAACGATTTGCCGTCAAATAACCATCCGGTATGCTTTCTGGATTATTACCAGTCCTTGGTGACTTGAAACTACTGTCTGAAATGCCCATATTCCTTTTCTCAGGCAGTCTACTGCTTTGACCCTTCCCAGAAAATGACAAATTCTTTGGAGTTTTTACACCTAACTCACTTTTTTCTAGTCCTCTCTGAGAGGACAGGTTAAAGCAATCATACCCTATACCTGCTTCAGTAGCAGCAGGACTTCCTGAGTAACTCTTCATATGTTCAGAGGTCATTGGAGAACTGAATTTCCTTGGGAATTCTCTGGACGAACAAGAATGAGGAGACTTCCTGGCACTATTCGAAACAGAAACCAAATCACTTCCATTTTGTCGCATGCTAGATGGTGGCTCTTCTTTTGTTCGACAGAAGTTGGAATTAAGCATTTCATCATGCCTATTGGGAGATTCTTCAAAGGCTGGAACCTGGTCAGATTTTGACTGCTTTGAAGCAGATAATGACAGCTCTTTTGTGTTCCCAAGACCTGACAAGCCTCTAAATATGTTTAAGTCTGAAATGTTTGTAGAGGCTTCCTGCTTCACAAGGAATTGATTAGGACTTTTTGGATTTTCAGGACCCATGATAGCTATTGTTTCTGCAGACCTGTTTGCAGCAATGCCCTCATTTTCATCTTCAGAATCTTTGGCTTCAGCTTCCATCATCTCCAACTCATACCCACTAAGGCCAGAAAAAGAATACATGAGCACACTATTATTTGCTCTTAATTTATTTGACAAGAAAGCCCCATTGAGGGGTAAAGTATAAACATATTATGCCTGAGCTAAACGAAATTAGCTCTTACTTAATAGCAAGCGAGTAAAATCACTTTATTGCTTTTTGAAGTCAGAAGCTACCACAACTCTAAATAAAATAAAATGAGTGAATTAGGCATTAAATTGACAGATCCAAAAAGGGCTGAGCAGGTGCTTAGAAACCTCTAGCGAGGTCTAATTTCATATAACTTAAGCACAAAGAAGTATGCATTTGCGAAATTCACAGATAAGACAACATGAAGTATAAAGTTCTGCACATCTTTTGTTTCTCAACTGGATCACTTGAAAATGTTTCTCATTTGACAATTTCACTACACCCTTTAACACTTTCAGCTTCTAATTAAACAGGCCTCCATAATATCTCAATGTTCAACTTCATATGTTTCAGATTCTGCAATATAAAGGCAACCTAGTAGGGGTATTATAACTATTCAGTACCAAGCAAAACAAAATACAGCAGAAACAATGAAGCTACTTCACATTAAAAGGCAGGAAATGGCAATGACGCACCTCTTATCATACTCTGCTTCTGAAAGGATTTCCCAAGACTTCAAACTGCATAAGAAATCATGAAATGAAACTTTGCATTTTAGCAGGTTAAGAATAGAAATATCTGAAACTGAGAAAATAAAGCTCGGGCATACCAATCCTCCAACCACTGGTGATTAACAAGCTTAATCGTCTTCATTTTCTTGGCAAGTTCATATTTCTCCCCTATCAAGTGTAATGACCTCAGTTAGCATTGATACACAGTTGTAAATACATACCACAACAGACATGGTAAAGAGTGAAAATCAAATGGAAATTGGGGTAGCTTTCTTCCTTATCTTTGTTCGATGAGAAAAGAGAATTTAAGACATAAGTAGTATGACAGACTGATTTATCAAAGCTCATGGAAATTGACAGGCTGCTTAACAAAAAAATATGTGAGTGAGGCTCAGTCATTAAGCCTCAATGCCCTGAGCATATGACACATCACATAGTAAATCATCAAAGAAAAGAAAGAGAATCTAATGAAAAATTAGCTCACACTACTGTAGCACAGTCCTCTTTTTCATAATACTCGCTTCATCCTATATCATGAGATGGTGTTTAACTTGATAGGAAATCTAATGTGTAATTTAACTTATTTATTATATTAACAAAGGAGGAAAACAAAAGTAGTGGTAGAAAAGTTATATGATAGAGAAATATCAATGAATTTAAATTTTGAAAGTTGTAGAAAAATGGATAGGTATCAATGATTTTGGGAGGTCCCGAAAAGGGAAAGTGTCACATAAATTGACACAGACAGAATATTTTAATTTCCTTGTCATTATTCTCTCAAATTGTTGAATAGGTAGTAGTTTACGAATGTAGTTCAGATGAGGATGCTCACATGGACGTGTGGGCATACTAGGACAGATATGATTAGGAATGAAGTAATACCTGATAAGATGGGAATGACTTATGTGGCAGACAAGATGAAGGAAGGAGGCAGGGAAGGTTCGGGCATGTGAAGAGGTGTGTGGATGCGCTAGCAAGGAACTGTGAGGGGCTGGCTATAGAAGGAGTTAGGAGAGGTAAAGGTGGGCCGGAGAAGAAATGAAGGGAGGTGATTAGACAAGACATGAAACAATTTCAGTTTACCAAGGACATGACCATAGGAGGTATGCAGGTCGAGGAATAGAGTAGAAGATTAGTAAGTAGTTGAGTAGTGTTGCACTTTCGGTGGGATAGGAAAGGGGCTAGCTGACTCTAAACTTGTCCATATTAGTAGTATTATATAGTATTCACATAACTTATTATTCTTGATGTGTTTTACTATGTTGTTAATTTGCAAAGTATAGTGCTATTTTGTTGTCATATTATTTTCTCCTTACATCCATGCTTCAAAAAAAAAGTTCTCTTCCTTTATTTTCTCATTTTTCCTTTTCTTCTTCTCTTTTGAGTTGAGGCCTAACGGTCTCTCTGCCCCACAAAGGCAGGGGTATGATCTGCGTACATCCAACTCAGACCCCACTTGTGGTATTACATTGGTGTGTTATTGTTGAAGTAATAGTTTCACGTTTATAATGAATCACTATTGTTCTAAAATCACAGCATATTGTTTCAAAGTTGTATATTAGTACTACTTTAATGACTTCCTTTTTTTCTTCTTTAAATGCTTATAAGGTAACAGCAATACTCATTTTCGCAACTGCAGACAATATTCCTAGATTACATGCTATGGTACCCTGACCTTCAGTTTGCTTTGAACTACCCATGTCAGATACACATATTCGACATTTCTCCCCAGGTCAAACCTTCTACGTAATATAATTTAAAGGTATATTCAATTATAAATTAAGGCAGGAAAGACTATGGGAGGGAAAAAATTAGCCAGCAGCAACACATCATAACGAATCATCAACATAAAGGACATTTGTGCAAAAACACCTGAAACTCCCATTCACCCCCTCTAGGATTAAGCATTTAATAAGGCAAAACAAGAAATAAGGAGAGATGTAGTACAACCAGCAATAGCAACTGGTGGAAAGGGGATAGTTACCCTCAAATTTGTAGCATATGAGATGAGTGACTTTGTTTGCCACCAACGGCTTTGAAAAGTTTGCACCCATCAGTCCCACCATTGTCTAGAAAGAAAAAACCAAACATGTGACAAGCAACTGTTAGATTCTCCTCATCAGAAAATATTTAACTTCTTTTAAAAGTAAAAGAATTGATGAACGACAAACTGCATTTTACAAACCATAATATCATCTCGATCTTGCCGTTGATACCCAGTTAAGCAGACTATCAGTGATTTAGCACCTGGAATTCCATTCAAATTTCTTGGAGGTCTGTACATGACCTGTAAGAGAAGTGGTGAATCTATTGAGTTTTGATTAAAGGGAAAAATCAGTTATGCTTACAGGCCTATGACAAGTTGACATAGAATTCTTAAGGGAGCAAGGGAACAGATAGAAAACAACAGATAGATTCACATGACCACCAAAAACCCAAAATCATGGCCCTTCAAAATTTCTATAGAATTCCCTAAGCTCAATATGAGATATAAAAGAAATACTGGCTCCTCAACTTACTGCATTATTGACTGTCTAATAGCAATATTAGAGAAAAAGCCTTTAAAACTGAATAGCCACTGATAAAATGGACTCATAAACACATAATATTAAAGATCCTTTCATGCACCAAAGTGGTATTATAAATTAATGCAAATACTTCCGAAGAGATATGTTCTATCCACTATATCATAAAATTACATGTCAATAAAGACATTCTTTGTAGACATTACTGTTTAAGCAACCACAGCAGGAAGAAGGACCAATCAACTAAGCATAATTGTGAGCCAGTAGACTGTATTTTCCAACAGATAAAAGACAGAATTTTTCAGAGGAACTCACAGAATGGTGATCAACAGGCATTCCCAAATCAAAACTGTGTGCAACCCACAAGCTGGTAACAACTATTTTTCCAACTCGTCGAGCAGAAACACATATGGGGTCATCCTGTTTCCAGAAAAGACTATGTTACATCCTAGTCATAATAGTGAGGAATGACGTTTGAGTTGCGTACAAAAAATGGGATAAGAAATCAAGCAGCAAGAAATGCAAAAGAAAATCGCCCTGAAAACCAAATACGGACAATTATGTTCACCACACTCACGTAGATAATACTATCAACAATAAGATGGGTGCAATCTGGTCCATATTTGCCTGCATCAACTCCACCACCCTCCACGAGCTTGGACCGAATCTAGAAAAGGAAAAAAGGACAAAATTTTAAAGTAGAACAATGACAACAACCATCAAAAGGAGAAAAATTCCCACACACATTAAACAATTACAACTACTCCATAACAATTGAACATGGAAATGAAAAAAAAAAATCATAACTACTCCATTTAAAGAACATAACACTTGAACTTGAAACAAATAAATCAATCAGCAGCCTTTGCATCAACAACATGAAATCTAAATATCCATTTCACAATTCAAAACATTGCATCTTCATCTTTTATCTCGGCTTGAGACCAACTCTACTTTCCTCAGCTCACATGAACATAATTAACTTGAAAAAAATACAATTGAATCAATCAACTCTGCCTCAAACTCAATATAGTTAGAGTTTGACAGTACAAATACTTTGTATCCATTTTGCTATTGATCATTTCTACCGACAATGCTTAGCAAAACTCGCATATGACAAAATTCTGACTTGAAAAAATGCAATTTTTTTGAGGAAAATAAAACATGGATTACCTGTTCCTTCCTAAGGGAGTCGAATCCAATTAGAACAAAACGAACACCAACGAAAATCTTGGAGCTGTCTTCGTATAACATATCTTGAGTCATTTCTTGTACAATTTTTTCATGGAAGAAGCAAGCAAATTAACACGAAATTTTTTTATAAGAACCCTAGAAATTTGTTGAATTTTACAAAGCTTCTCGAGCAAGGAGTAGACAAATTATTGGAGGGATTTTGTGTTTTTTAATTTTTTATTTTGGCGCACTTATTGCTGGGCCTCAAATGAAACTACAGTTGAGCTTTGGCCCATGTCCATTTTTTTTAGACAGTAAAATGGCACGTTTATCATTCGCACAAATGCCCTTATTTTTAGGTGATTTTAATTTTTGCCCTCAAGTTATGCTTTGAAAGGCATAAAAAGTTATGTCGCTCAATTCCTATAGAACTTATACGATAATGGCATAAGTTCAAATTGGAAATTTCACAAGTTATGTAAGAGGCATAATGTAAAAGATATAATTTAATTCCCATAGAATATATGCCAAGCGAGACAAAAGTTTTGGTTTAAAAACTCACAAGTTATATTGTAAGAGGCATAACTTATATCAAGCAAGGATAAAAATTAGGTTAAACTTATGTCTAACAAATCTAGTCATAAATAATGGTGCTTTGGTCCACAATATATTTATTCAATGAGCAACAAGGACCAAATTAAAGATCATCAGATTTGAGGACAAAAATTAAAGCATCCCGAAATGGAGGGAATCATACGATGAGCTTAAGTATTATATGAAAAATCATACTAAAATAAATACATCTCCATACGAAATACTGAATTGTAACAGTATTATATCTTAAACTTGAAAGTATTCCTATGGGCGACTAACTATTTACATTGATGCTGAGCCCAATCACTCTCAATCCCTTCGTTTGATGAATTGTTGAGAAGCATAACAAGTCCCAGCAATTGAAAAGAATGGCAACCCGGTGCACTGAGCTCTCACTATGCGAGGAGTCCGGAAAAGGGCCAGACTACAAGGATTTATTTGTACGCAGTCTTACCCTGCATTTTCACCAAGAGGCTGTTTCCCACGGCTCGAACCTATAAACTCCTTATCACATGGCGACAACTTTATCAATTACACCAAGGTCGCCCAATTGAACAACCTGTAAATGCATAGACTGGCAATTAGTACCCCAAAGAGACAAATGTTTCTGCCCATTTGTGCAAGTGAAAAATAGATCTCCCATTTCTCTCCACTTTGTACGAATGCAGTGCTAAAACAGGGAGTAGTGACAAGTTATTTAGAGTATCAAACTGATGCAAGACCTACCTGTATACTTTTCCAAAGGGCATAATACATAAACATACACTCAAATTTAGTCACAGCTGTCAAGTAAACACTCCAGCTTACAAAATGATCATCTAGACACCTCCAAAATTTATGTGTCACATCAGCCTTGGGTCTCCACAAGACACAGTGGGAACAAGTTGGAGTGTTTAGTTGCTAGCTCAAACCAAGTTGAAGTATCTAGATGTGCACTCTCAAAGTTGGAGTGTTTATTTGCCAGCTAACGCCAAACTTGAGTCTCCTCGGCAACTCAAAAGGCAAAAGCAAGTATTCAAATCCAGTAAACCACTAACCATTAACAGCTCCCAGCAAACAACACTAACAAACAGAATATACAAAGTCCCGTTTTTTATATCAACTCCAGGAACTTTTAGCACACGATTGCATCAAGAAGCCACAAATATTACACACTTTCCCCAATTAATATGACGGTTTACTTTTTATTTTGAATGTTCCAAAATATTTGGCGCTATCTCACTAATAACATCATTTTAAAACATCTTTCATAGGTTTCAAAATTCAAATTATTTAAGTTTCACCTGTTCTCCGTCGAACTAACCTTTTTAATTATCAATACTAATTAATATGTGATCAAGACAACATTTTAAACTCTATGCTATCCTAATGAGTTTTCATAAATTGGGATTGAGGGAGCAGCTAAAAAACCATCCATCAGATAGAACCTGAATTTTGATTTAACAGATCAGGGCATCATTGGCAAATTATTATAAAGCACGGGATCATTTTGCAGCAAAAAATTGGCTAAGACAGCTGATGCTACCACCTAGCGTAAGTGCAACAAATATCATCTTGAATGTTTGAGCAACATTTTGCTCGTTTTTCTCATGATAGTTCAGAGGGATATAGCTTTACCATTGCAGGCTGTTGTTCAATAAGGGAATGATGAAAAAATTGTCAAGTCAGGATCATCCTTGTGCTTGTCCCAAGCGGCTTTGAACTGCGAGCCCTTGGATCTTGACAATGAGGGGAAAATATTAAGAAATTGAAGAACTCAATAATTAGAGAGAAACTACAACAGAACGAAAAAAAACCTATCACATGAAGGAAGAGAAAACAGAGGTAACAGAGCATGATATTTACTGTTGGATCAAAATTATAGTCTGAAGAACAAGTTTTCTGATTTCTTCACGTGCAATTTTCAGCGCTGCTTCCTTGAATAGACTAACAAGTTCATCCACCAACCTGCATCACATCGACAGATACAATTTAAAGAAGCGAGACGAGCATGTAGGAAGGTTCTAGTTTAACGCTAGGGATGTTAATCCATCATCAGTTAAGATGGTTTAACTGTTGAAAAAAGGGGTCCTCAGTTAGATGCAAAACTGGAATTCGGGAACGAAAAAATACACTATTGGATTTATTTATAACTTTTAGCGTACTCCATTCTTCATATTATCTGCAGATATAAGTAAAATTCAGGGTGACTCCTAATATTCCTTCGTAAATTACCTTTCAATGTATGGAGAATTCCTTATCCATGTCAACTTTACAATTGTCTTGATCCGTTCAAGAACCTGAAATAAAAATGAAGTATCAAATGTGCTGCTAGCGGTGATCTTCAAGCACAACATCTTGTATAAGAAAATTTTTAAATGCAAAAGAAACTCAACTCTTATATATTTTAACAAAAAGTCTGTTGATGCAACTAAATTATAGTACTTAATCAGTCAGCAGAAACTGAAACTAGAGGAGAAAGGAATTCAGCAAAACTGTGGTTTACTGTAATAGTTCATAAAAAGGTAGCAAGGCTGACCAGCTCAAAAGATTTCCATCACCTCTTACCAGTAGAACAGTTCTGTCATCATCTGCATGCATCCACCGGAAGAAGAGAGGGAAAAGTCGCCTGAAATGAGATAGCAGTATAAGACCAAGACCATTGAACAGTGGCTCAATATGCTGTAGCCATGCAACACGTCGCTCCTTATTTCTTGGTTGCCTTTCCAGGTGACTCAACATCTCATTCAACAATTTTTCATACCTGTGTCACAATAGTTTTGATAGGTAAATACATACATGAAGCATAACATATTGGAAATGCTAATGTTGGAGGACATGTGGCATGTTAGTACACTAAGGTACAGATACCTATTGTAATGTATATGACATCGCCATAAACTTCAAAAGACAACTAAATAGGGATTTGCTGCATCACAAGCCTCTAAAAAAAGAAGAAATTTTATTCAGATATCAGTTGTCTAAAAAGAACAGCAATTATGATGCCAAAACAACAACTTGAAAATCTGGCTTCCAAAATATTTATTAAAAAAAAAGTTGTAAATTTGACAATGATAGACTGTTCCCTAGAGTTAACTTCAATGAGTAACACAGAGGTAACCCTATCCCTCCCCCACCCACCCCAAAAAACAAAAAAGTCGAACTTTCACTTAATGCAAGCCAAAACATTGAGAGTATCCAACTGTTTATTTGGTGCACAAAAATTTTATAGGACAGTTCTTTCTGCATTACCATCCAGACATCATTCTTTTGAAGGATTACTGTTAAGAATTATGCCATTTCCCCAGTAAATTTATGAGTTGAATACCATTTTAAATCATGCGTACATGTTGGGAAAATTTATCCAAGATTCAATATACAACATATAGTGATATAGAAGACACTCTACCATATGCTTCGAGGATTACTTTTCTGGGTGAAGGTCACCATAAGTACAGACATTTGAACCACACGCTCCCATATCTCATCATCGGAAGCAATATTTTGGCAGCAAGCATCAAGGATTACATCTTCATACCAACCAATCTCAGCCGCATTGACATTTTTCGCCAGATATATTAAGCTAATCATGCCCTGTCCCTGAAGTAAGAGACAACATTTAGTCAACAACCTAATGAAAGCAAAAATATTAATCTTAATTATGAGATGCAAATGTATAGCAGACGAGCACCACTTGCTTGTAACAATTTGAAATACCATTTTAAGCTTGAAGATGGATTACATCATGCTCCAAATGACTAAGTCACAAAGGTACTTACCAAAAAATAGAAGAAGAAGAAAAATGACTAAAAAGGAAAGACAAACTGAGAGAGGTGCTATCAACATTATTGCAATCAGAAGTCTCTAACAGAGTATCCACGGACAAGCTTTAGAAAAGAACTGAAACGTGATCTTTGATGTTCTTTTTGTTGTCAGCAGTTGCTAAGAGCTCAGAAATGAGCCAAATAGTAGAAGCACATACAAGTTTAAGCACTAGCTAGCTAATACTTGATTTAAAGAGTCTGTCCCTTCTAACAATTTACAATGTATTTTGACCACAATATATCTCAAGGGAAACACAGTGATTTAGGAAAAGAGAAATCTCCAATTAGAATATCTAATCATCTAACTCTTTCACAGTATTAACGGATCACTGCAAGAATCAACAGTTTTACACTATTTAGAGAGTTTTAACTATTTTGAAGTTATATAGGGCTATCAACACAGTTTGAAGCACCGATCAACAAGTACGTGAAATATCTGATTGAAACAGCAACAAATTTCTAAGACCAGCAATCATACAAAGACAAATGCACCTTTACTTCAGATGACCAGTGATCAAGAGCTGTTAGGGCACATGGAATCACCAAAGAGCACACTTTTCCAAGGTGAGGATAATCCACCTACAAATGATAAATATTGAAGGTTATGCTTCATTTCATCACAATAGAATTAAAACCACCAACTGAAGAAAATAATCATACAAATAAATCATCAAGTACCAATTAAGGATATACATACCTGAGAAATGAACCATCTAAACTGATAAGCAGCAATAATGGCGTATGCTACAGGAACACTAGCGCTTGCAGCTGATATCTCATGACCATCAATTGATTTATCAATGGCACTCTCTTTTATCGTGTCTTTTAGCAAAGGCAAGAGTTGAGGGATTAAGTGTATGGCCAAGATTTTATCATTTGGGAGAGACTTAAAATCAAGATCCAGCTCACCAAATTTGATCAAGTCATGATTCCCAGAAGCCATGGTAGCATAAGCTTTAGATAGGTCTTTGAAGGCAGAGGCAGCAGCAAGAGATAGCGAATTGGGAACCCAAAAGAGTTGATTGTAGGTGGATTCAGAGGCAGACGCCAATGCAGCACAGCATATGCTAAAATCCCTTATTTCGAGTTGGGAGTCGGAAAGAAGAGACAGTAGCATGGATTTGATAGAGACACTGGAACCCTCTGGAGGAGTATAAGGTGCCTTGGAGAGTGATTTCCTTATTGGCCTTGATAATCTATTAAATACAGTTTTTATACAAATTATTACTCACACCCAGTATGTAGTACGTATTAAAACAAGCAGAAAGAAGGGTCTTACAGAAGCAGCTCTTCATTGAGAGACTTCAACATTCTTCCCTTCTCTCTGCTAATTGCTACGGTTTCCAAACCAGACAACCTGTCCATTTTGTACTTACATAAATTTACGAGCTGTTTGTCCAACCAACTTTCTTACTACCTTGAATCAAGATCTTAAGACAAAGAACAAGAGACAAGGGATTGAAACATCATTGATGTTCAATCCTTCGTCAAACTTAAATATGAGTTGTCGCTTCTTTACATGACTCATCTTAAAAGCCAATTAACATTAAGCAAATCATAAATCATCCTGACACGCAGAAAGGATCACATGAAGGGGACGAAAAGCTAAAAATCATATAACTCAGTGAAGAACTCAAATCATTTGGATTCAAACGAAGCAAACACGCTAATATATATCTAAATTAAAATGGAGAAATGCAGTAAAGGAAAGGGGACATGAGTAATTGAATGTAAATAGAATTATACAGTGTTATCAAAACCAGAAAAGCTCTAAGCTTCTTTGAGGCTTTAAGCGCAAATAAACCGTGGGATTTAATGAAAAAGGCACAAAGGGAGAAAAAAATACAAATATATATATGTTTAGTCCAAGATTAACAATAATTATAAGCATGAATATAATATATATGAACAAAGAAATTGAAAAAATATTCCTATAAAGGGAAATATCAATTGTACAGTGTCCTCATTGGCAAGGAAAACTACGTCTTACAATCTTGATGACAACACAGAAGTGCACATTAAGCAACTCGAAGTGCCCAACACGTTCTGAACCCACTCCAGGGTTTAAGTGTGCCTTTGACAACACTGATTATAAACACTCTCATTTTCCGGAAAAAACTCTCAGGCCCAAATGACTAATTTAGCTTTCCATTAAGTAACTGAATTTTTTTATGGCAAAGTTCTGCATTCAACTCATGTTTCCTCAAGATTAAATTCAACCAATTCACTGATTTAGCCTATATCAAAATTCATCCACAGTAGCATAAGAATGAATCACCAACTTAAATTAAGCAAATGATGAAGAATAAATCAATAAATTAGAACAAAACAAAGTTTAGAAAGAAAGACTTACAGTGCTAGAAGGGATCACCGTCACTCGAAGTTCGCAAAATGCAAGAGAAAAGGGTAGGGGATTGTGTTTGGGTTTTGATACATCTTACACGTGAATAAAAATTTAATTATTATAACTTTAATTAATTTCAAAGTCCTAAATATTAAGTAGGGTAATAACTAAATGACAATTATTTGAGGAAAATAGTAAATGACAATTTTATTTTTTGTAAAGCTTTTTAATGAAGAGTCAAAAGTTCAATCAACATTGTGCAGGTCAGCTTACGGGAATGAAGGACTATCGTCAATGTGGCTGGAGCCGCTAGATCCCACAACAGCAATCTTCAAACTGATAAACCAACCTTTCACTTCTCATATGGGCAATCACCCACATGAGGACCAGAAGACGGCATTTGAAGGCTATATAAAGTCCTTATCCAAGAAATGAACTATCTTGCTTAACATAGCTATTTGAAGGCAGTGGCGGAGCCAGGAATTTCACGAAGAGGGTCCAACAATTAAACAACAAAAGCTCTTTTTAAAAAGGGAAAAAAATTGTTTCAAGTGAGATTTAAACACGCGAGCACTGACTCATTAAAGATGTCTAAACACACATTCAAGACATCTTAAACCACTAGGCTATAACAACCTATTATATCAAGGATGTCCAAAATATGTTATTTTATCACTTCATGTGCCATTTTACTTGTATATGCGGTATTTTTTTTCCGACGAAGGGTGTCCAATTGGACACCCTGGCATACATGTGCCTACGCCACTGTTTGAAGGAAACTCATTTTTAAGCTCAGACTATTTCCATAGAATAGCTACCACCCCTAAACAGAACAGGTACCTGATAACTCTATCCACCAAGGCTAGTACATTACTACATATGGGGAAAAAAACCAAGTGTTTCTATTACAACTGAAATTTGATCCTGAGACCTCATGGTTCTCACCGACCTCATCGACCACTGGGCCACCACTAGGTGTTTTTCTCATGCCTCAAATTCTTGCACACACAGTCACATAAAAGGATTACAGAATGTAAAACACCCAATTTAGTACTCATCATCATCATGTAATTCATAAGAAAGTATTGAAAGAAACAGATTTCCTAGCTTATTGAATTTAACAACAGAGCAAAAAATATTGGAAATAATGAGGAATTTTACCTCTTGTTGAGCAGCGTTGACTGGCGCCGGACCGAATTGAGTTGACAATCTACTAGAGCTTCACCGATGAATGGAATATTCCGTTTTGGCCGCCGGAGAACTCCGACGAGAAAAAAGTAAAGAAATAAAATTAGATTCCAGAGAGAAATTGTTGGGCCTCAAAATGAAACATACTGTTGGGCCTTGATGATACAGTTCTCATATGGGCCAAAGCCCAAGTCCATTCTTTACCACAGTTGGACTCGAGCAGTGTATTAACATTTAATTACACGCACCGTCTTTCAAATGAGTTGGTCTTTAATTTTTGTCCTTAGCAATTGAATTTATACCAAGCGAGTCATAAGTTCTTTAAGGGCGCAAGGTATAACATGTGATTTATTACGATGTGAAGATATAAATTTATGTCCCACGAAAAAAGTTGTTTATCTCAAGGGATAAAAATTAAAGACCAACAAAGTGCACAAATACTCGTTTTCAGGGGCCGCCATTTAACTAATACTCACTGTATTAATTTCTTAATGAATTTATTCGCTTCTGAAAATAATTCAGGTATACACGACTGAGATTGAAATTTTGCGTCGGAGGAGCATGTAAAATTGTCTTAAATCTCTCATGCAATGTTTGAATTTCTTTTGTCAAAAAAGAATTTTATTTTTCGAATTTCAATAATTTAACACCCAAATCTATTTCAAATAAGCTCAAATTTAATTCATAAAATTCATATCACAGATGAACAAACTTCAACCATCAATCTATCAAAACAATAACAAATCTACCAAAATTATTCAGCACCCTTTTATATTTTGAAAATGTCTTTTCTAGGAAACTGTTTTTTTTATGAAAGTAGGAAAGACAAGCTTTATAAGTGATATTTCATTTCTGTTTGTTCTCGCGTACACCCCATGTCACCCTGCCGACTCCACCACCCTCACACTCTCCCAATACCGTCACACATTCCTATAATATTAATTATCTAGAATATATGTTTTTTTACAATAACAAAATTTATTTGCTTGCTTGCAACACACCAAAAAAATAAGAAGTGAACCATTTATTTTTTGGAAAAGATATTTTTTTCACAAAATATATTTTCCTTAATAACTAACACAACGTCGTTGTATAGGTTGTAATATGCAAAAAGGTATAGACATTGATCGGTTCAAATGAAGGTATTAAATTGGAAAATGACTTTATTGATGATGAATTAATAATGAAAAAGATGTACTTAGTGTGTTTGGTATGAATCTATATATATATATATATATATAAAGCTGGATATAAAAAATCTGATATGGCACTTCTCTATGATCAGCATTTTTATTTGTCTTTTATCTTTTTTTTTGGATTTGTTTTCTATTTTTAAATTGATATTTTTTAAAAATTAAAAGTATTTAAGAATCTTACCCAATTAATCACCTCTACTTAAAAACATCCCTTAAATTATTATACATTTAAGTAAATGGAAGATGAAAAAACAAAAAAAAATCATTTCTTACAACTGTTTATACAGTTTGCCTATAAATTAAAAAAATATTGAGCATCCATAGCCAACAATGAACTCCATGATTTCACTTCTTCTTCTTCCGTTTCTTTACATTTATCAATTCATACAAAAACAAAAAATTTAAGAAAAAAATTGATGTGTACACTTTTGTTAGAAGTGAATGTCAACATTTGATTTACATATCTGTTGGCATACATAATTCTATTTCATCCAAAAAGAAAGAGGAAGAGGAATAGGAAGAGAAAGAGAGAATATATTGGTGTAGGAAGAAAGACTACACAACAAATGATTCTTCTCAAAATAAAAGACTTTTTCAAAGAATGTTACACTATAATTCCTCCTACATGCTGAGAAAATTTTTACTTGATTGAGAAATTTATAGGAAGGGTGATTGGTGTTCAAATGCCAAGAAGAATTATTTAGAAGAATTATCTATTTATGGAATTCAAATTAAATTAGGAGAAGAATAAGATAGAATTATTTAAAGAAAAATCAATCTATTTATGGAATTCATATCAAATTAGAAGGAGAATAAAAAAAAATTATAATTTGAAAAGGAGCCAAAATTAGTGCTTACATTATTTATTTTAATTTATTTATTCTACTAATTTCGTTTTTTTTATCACAAATACTTTTCTCATTTATTTTTTATTTATGTGTCTTTAATTAAAGTTTATGTCTTTATCATTAAATCTCTTTATATTTATATTTAGAAGAATTATCTATTTATGAAATTCAAATTAAATTAGGAGAAGAATAAGATAGAATTATTTAAAGAAAAATCAATTTATTTATGGAATTCATATCAAATTAGAAGGAGAATAAAAATAAATATTTTATAATTTGAAAAGGAGCCAAAATTAGTGCTTACATTATTTATTTTAACTTATTTATTCTACTAATTTCATTTTTTTATCACAAATACTTTCCTTATTTATTTTTTATTTATGTGTCTTTAATTAAAATTCTTTAACATTAAATCTCTTTATATTTATGTTTTAATATATAGATGAATCTATATTAAAATACTAGGTGCTAGTGGGACATCTCCTGCCACTTTGTTGGATTAATATTTTTTATTTTTTATTTTGTATTTAAAAATTGCGTAAAAATACTATAAATCATGATAATTGACAATATAAAATATGTTTTGAAAAAAATACAAAAAATTTCACTGATTCTTGAAGTGAATCTATCGTAAAAATACTATAAATCATGATAATTGACAACATAAAATATTTCAAAAATGTTGTATGTGAGTAGTCTTATTATGCCTTAAATAGAGTCAAAGAAGGTACAAGTTTGTGATAAAAAAAACTTATTCCTTTATCCACGCAAACAATCGCTTCAAAAACTCGGTTATTAGCCCCAAAACATA